AAGCACTCTGACTGATCTACACCTGCAGGACGTTCTCACCCTCTCAGTTAGTCAGCTTCAGCCTGACATTGAGAGGCTGGTCAAAGCCAAAGACCAGCTTCATGTGTCTCACTAATAGTGTCAAACTGCTGCTGTTTGCTGTTAATATGGACATGCATATGGACATAATTTGTGGCTAAATAAAGATTCATTTGCTTTGTATTTGCTTCCTGTTCTTTGTACAAAGAGTGAAATGTTAAATACCTTTATAATAAACACATTTCAATCAGGAAGTGCACCCCCCCTGCTTAAGGACAGGCTCAGTTCCAGATGCTTTTAAAAGAGCAATTGTCCAGCCTCTTCTCAAAAGGCCAAATCTTGACCCTTTGTTCTCTAATTTTAGACCAGTCTAAATGATCTTTTATGTCTAAAGTTCTGGAGAAGATTGTTTTTATCCAACTTGTCTTTTTTGACAGACAATGGCATTGAGGAGCAATTTCAATCTGGTTTTAAATCAAAACATAGTACTGAGTCTGCATTATTAAAAATCAGCAATGATATCCTGTTAGCTAGGGACACCGGGGATTCGGTTTTATTGTGCTTTTAGATCTCACTGCTGCCTTCGATACAGTGGATCATCCATCCATCCATTTTCCTCTGCTTATCCGGAACCGGGTCATGGGGGCAGCAGTCTAAGCAAAGGAGCCCAGACTTCCCTCTCTCCAGACACTTCCTCCAGCTCCTCCTGGTGAATGCCAAGGCGTTCCCAGGCCAGCCAAGAGACATAGTCCCTCCAGCGTGTCCTGGGTCTTCCCCGGGGCCTCCTCCCGGTGGGACATGCCCGGAACACCTCCCTAGGAAGGCGCCCAGGAGGCATCCGAAACAGATGCCCGAGCCACCTCAGCTGGCTCCTCTCGATGTGGAGGAGCAGCCTGTTAATATTGGTGCCTGTTCATCCTCTTCAACAATCCTTTCCTGTGGTGTCCCCCAGGGATCTGTGCTTGGTCCCATTTTGTTCTCACTGTACATGCTTCCATTAGGATCTGTCTTAAGGAAATATGGCCTTTCTTTTCACTATTATGCAGACGACATTCAGATATATTTACCATTGGAGGCAACGAGAGGAATGTCATTACAGCCATTTTTTGACTGTTTGACAGACTTGAAATCATGGCTGGCACTTTTTAAATCTTAATGAAAATAAAACTGAGTGTGTGTTTTTTGGAGACTTGGCGAACTTAACTTCTTTTGACTGGGGTCTGGGCGCTCTGGCTAGTCATCTGAAGTCAACTGTAAAAAACCTAGGCATGATGTTTGATGGTGAGTTAATGTTTGACAAGCAAATTAACTCAGTTGTGAAATCTAGCTTCTTCCACCTCAGGTTGTTAAGTAAAGTCAAGTCATTCCTTTCTTTTAATGATTTTGAGATTGCAATCTTGCAGTCTTCAGATGGTTCAAAATGCTGCTGCTTGTCTTCTGACGAGTACCAGAAAATTTGAGCATATAACCCCGGTACTGGCTTTTCTCCACTGGCTTCCAGTCCATTTTAGAATTGATGTTAAATTGCTGATTTTTGTTTTTATGGCTCTTTATTGTTTTGGGCCCTCTTACCTCACTGAATTAGTGCATTGGCACAAACCTGCAAGGTCCCTCAGATCTTCAAGCCAGTTTCTTTTGGGGGTTCCTAGGGTCAGATATAAACGTGCTTTTACTGTTGCAGCCCATAAATTGTGGAATAGTCTACCTTTTAATGTTAGATCAGCTACTGACCTGACAACTTTTAATTCCTTGCTTAAAACATATTTATTTGCCTTGGCTTTTAATACACAGTAGGGCCTGATGCATTCCTTTTAATCTAATTTATTGAATGTGTGTCACCTGTGTGTCTGAGTTATTGTTTTATTTTTGCACTGAATCTATTTTATTTTAGTTATTTATCATGTGGGCAGCACGGTGAAGCAGTGGTTAGCACCGTTGCCTCACAGTGAGAAGGTTCCTGGTTCGGGTCCCACCTGGGACCTTTCTGTGTGGAGTTTGCATGTTCTCCCTGTGCTTGCGTGGGTTCTCTCCGGGCTTCCTCCCACAGTCCAAAGACATGCAGCTTAGGTTGATTGGTGTCTCTAAAATTGCTCATAGGAGTGCGTGTGCGCGTGCATGTTTGTTCATTTATGTGTTAGCCCTGCGATGGATTGGCGACCTGTCCAGGGTGTACCCCGCCTTTGCCTGATTGCCGGCCGGGATTGGCTCCCGTGACCCCGTTCAGGGACTAAGGGGTAGAAAATGAATGAATATTTATCATGTTTTTATTCTGTCTATGTAAAGTACTTTGGTCAACTAGATGTTGTTTTTAAAGTGCTAAATAAATAAATTTGATTTGATAATAGGAGCTGTTTATGCAGTATGCCAATAAAATATACTTTACTGTACAGATCAGTTGTTTTACTAGAGCACCCCAAGAATCAGTCTGTGGTCCTTCTCACATTGGTGATCCAGTGTGGTCCTTCTGTGAGCCGGTCTTCAATGATATGGGTTATCACTGAAGTCAGTCTCACAGATTTGCAGTATAGTAGAATATGCAGTATATTTGTGCCTCAAAAATTCAGTGCCAGGAAGAGCATTTAAAGATTTTCCTAACCACATAAGAACCTCACACCAGAACTGATTTATATGAATCCAGCTAAACAAATAAGAAAAAAGTTTGAAATGACTCAAAGTTGTTTTGCATATGATCAAAAGTAACTGTGTAGCGCTGCCACTAAAAATTGCTTTCATGATCAGTTAACATTCCCATTATTTTCTCACTTAATCAATTTGTTTTATTTATAAAATGTAAAAAAAAAAATTTTAATGTGAAAAATGCCATTATCATTTTCTCAGAGGCGACTGATTCTTCAGTTCTTTCTTTTGTCCGTCCAATGGTTCAGAACCCAAAGATATTCAGAAAGATGGAAATCCGTTCACTTGAGAAACTGAAGCCAGAGAATGTTTGGCATTTTTGCCTAAAATTCCTGATTCCTGTATACAGTGGGTAAAGTCTCCGTGGCCAGAGATCGGGTCATCGGGGCCCCTGCCTTCGACTGCTGCCCGATCCACTGTGCACCAGCCCCTTATGGATCCTCCTGCAGGGAGGAGGCCCCGGGGAAGACCCAGGACACGCTGGAGGGACTATGTCTCTCGGCTGGCCTGGGAACGGCATTCCCCCAGAGGAGCTAGAGGAAGTGTCTGGAGAGAGGGAAGTCTGGGTATCTTTGCTTAGACTGCTGCCCCCGCAACCTGGTTTCGGATAAGCAGAGGAAAATGCATGGATGGATGGACAGTGGGTAAAATAAGTATTGGACACCACCATTTTTCTCAGTAAATATATTTGTAAAGATGCTGTTGACATGAAATTTTCACAAGATGTCGGTAACAACCCAAGTAATCCATACATACAGAGAAAACAAAACAAATAAGTTCAGAAATTAAGTTGTGTGTAATAAAATGGAATGGCACAGGGAAAAAGTATTGAACACATGAAGAAAGGGAGGTGCAAAAACGCATGGAAAGCCAAGACACCAGCTGAAGTCTATCAGTAATTAGAAAGCAATTGCTCCCCTTGTCAGTGGAAATTAATATCAGCTGGTTCAGTCTCAACTGACGGCCTATAAAAAGGTTTCTCATTACCAAGGTGTTACACAAGAAACATCTCATGATGGGTAAAAGCAAAGAGCGTTCTCAACATTTTTGCAACCTTACTGTTGCAAAGCATACTGTTGGCATTGGAAGGATTTCTAAACTTCTGAATGATCCAGTGAGCACTGTTGGGACCATAATCTGGAAGTGGAAAGAACATAATTTCACAATAAACCGGCCATGACCAGGTGCTACTTACAAGATTTCTGACAGAGGAGTGAAAATAATTATCAGAAGAGTTGTCCAAGAGCTAAGGACCACTTGTGGAGAGCTTCAGAAAGACCTGGAATTAGCAGGTACAATTGTTTCAAAAATAATGCACTCAACCGCTGTGGCCTGTATACTGCGCAAGACTCCATTGCTGAAGAAAAAGCATGTTGAAGCTCATTTTAAAGTTTGCTGTATAATATTTAGACAAGCCTGTGAAATACTGGGAGAATATAGTCTGGTCAGATGAGACCAAGATTGAACTCTTTGGATGCCATAATACACACCATGTTTGGAGGTCAAATGGCACTGCACATCACCCCAAAAACACCATACCAACAGTGAAGTTTGGAGGTGGGAACATCATAGTGTGGGCCTGTTTTTCAGCATACAGCACTGGCAGACTTCATATAATTCAAGGAAGGTTTAATGGACAAATGTACCGAGACATTCTTGATAAAATCTGCTGTTACCTACCAGGTTGATGAAGATGAAATGAGGGTAGACATTTCAGCAAGACAATGATCCTAAACACACAGCCAGGGAAACTCAATTGGTTTCAGAGAAAGAAAATGAAGCTGCTAGAATGGCCCAGCCAATCACCTAACTTCAAACAGAAAATCTATGGAAAGAACTAAATAACAAAGTTCATAGAAGAAGCCCACAGAACCTTCGAGATTTGAAGACTATTTGTGTGGAAGAATGGGCCAAAATCACACCTGAGCAATGCATGTGACTAGTTTCTCCATACAGGCTTTTGTACAAAGTATTAAATAAATTTCAGTAAGCGTGTTCAGTACTCTTTCCTGTCATTCCATTTTATTACACATAACTTAATTTTTGAACTTATTTGTTTTGTTTTCTTTGTATGTATTGATTGCTTGGGTTATCGACATCTGAAAATTTCATGTCAACAGTACCTGTGATGTGTTCAATACTTATTTTACCCAGTGTATAGTGATTGATATATCTGGTTGAATGAAAGGACATTAGAGAGACAAAGTTATGCTTTTCTAGTATAATATATTTATACTGTGCAATGTGTTGGGACACAATCTTCCTTCAGGATGACTAAAGCTCAACATTTTGCAATTCTGTAGCACTTATTGTCAGACCCAATAATCAAAGAACTTGGCAGCTCATTTATCATTTAATCAAAAGGAATAGGAAGGATTCATTTCTGTCTTTGCATTCACAGTCACACCATAGTTAGTTTAACTCTCACCAGGTTTGAAAACATGCTTAATTGCATCTGATGCCCCTGTATTCTCCCTGTGTGTGTGTGTGTGTGTGTGTGTGTGTGTGTGTATGTAGTTGTTGGGTATGTTGGACATGTCTGTTCCAGTAGTGGCCAAGTTCAGACGTTTGTTGGACAGTCTGCCCAGGGAAACGCTGCCTGATGTGGTGGCCTCCATGCTCCGAACCTCAAACAAGGAGAAACTACAGGTGAAGTGGTTGTTGGGCCTGTAACGGCTACAGTTCACTAAAACAATTACAGGATGTGACAAAGTTGGAAGAAAAGTCAGCTTAAAGCCACTGTGTGAAACATTTTAATGTAATTCGTTAAACCAACCACTGTAAAGAACAGCCCCCCTTGTACCTTGCTGTGTGAAGGTGCTGGATGCAGTGAGCTTGGAGGAGCGATTTAAGAAGGCACTGCCCATGCTGACCAGACAGATAGAGGGCCTGAAACTGCTGCAGAAAACCAGGAAGATGGGTCCTGATGCTGAGAAGAGGGTAACAAACATTTGCAGTTCTCCTTTTCCTACCAGTGCTGTCTGTGTTTATAAGGCTGTTCACATCTCAGTCTTCTGTCCTTTCAGGTTTTATCGGTGCGCAAAGGTGGTGTGTTCCCAGGCCGCCAGTTCAGTCTAGATGAAGAGGATGAAGATGACAATGAAGATGACACTGCAGCCTTGGAGAGGAAGGTTCAGGGGGCCAACATGCCTGAAGCTGCTCTCAGAGTTTGCCTTAAAGAACTTAAGAGGTAAACTTTGACCCTGATTTATACCAAATCTTGTTTTATAAACTGTAGTCCTTCCTAATTATCTCTGGAAAAGATTTGGTTTGGACAGTTAAAAATCTGTCTTTATTTGCAGTAGCTGTCTTGGTTAAATTGTAGCTTTGACTGCATAATACAAACATGAAACATGATCCTACTTTTATGCATCAGATTTGATCAGAAACTTAATTTTATCTAAAAACCCTTTTGTGAGAACATGGGTTCATTCTGTTTTACCCTCAGTACTCTTTGGTCTTTTAGAATCATTACTCTGATGTGACTTTTTCCAGAATATGTGGCACTTCTTCTTCACTGTTCTATGTTTATTGACAAGTCTTGGTCAACAGTAACAGTTTATCTCATTCATCTGTATTCAGATTGAAGAAGATGCCTCAATCCATGCCTGAGTACGCCCTGACCAGAAACTACTTGGATCTGATGGTGGAGCTGCCATGGAGTAAAAGCACCAAAGGTAAATAAAGACACAGGTGACCTTTAGCAGAGTCCAGGTCTGCAGATTTTCAGAATGTTTTTTTTATTATTATTATTATTATTTTTACACTTTTCATTGGCCTAAGCTAATAGCTTTTCTCTGCCTCATGTTGTGCTGCCTGTGGGAGGTTTCTGTTGTCTGTGGAGACACTGTATTTCCCTGAGGAATTGGTAGAGAGCAGAACAGCGCTAAAATCAGAGTGAATATTGGGATTATATTTATCAGGTGGACAGAGGCATGACTCCAAATGAAGCTAATGTTGCTCCCTAGCTACTAGATGTGTCACTTGGCAGCTGTTTGTTTGCACATCAGCTGTTACAACCTTAAGATGGTATTAAATGTCAGTGTTGTTTACAGCTTGTCTTGCTGCAAACAAGTGGCCAAAAAGTCAAGCAATGCAGCTTGTTATAAAGACATTTGTCATTTAAAGTGTAACATTTTCCTGGTTTTTTGGTTTTCTGTCTTGTATCAAGTCAAACAGACCAACAACCAAAAGTCTGAAATTATAAGCATTTTCACATTTCAGTTTTGTGATTTTTTTTTTTTTTTTACTGATTTATTTAACTAATAAATTCTCTGTATAATTATTACATATACTAGTAGCTTATTAAAACTTGTTTTAGTCTACTGTATGAGAAAAGCTCTTAAACAGACCTAGTCACATCATTTGTGTCCAAATGTGAACCCATGTAAATTCCAAGATGATCATCTTTCCTAGACAGAAAATACAGTGTACCATACATAGATATAATGTTTGTGTGGTGGCCAGCCACAATATCAGAGGAATGCTGCCAGTAGATTTCACTGACACAATAGCACTCACACTGTTTTGTTTGCTTCTGCTGCTAACCACAGTCTGCCCATATAGGAAACTGCAGCATATCAGCGGAGACTCCAGCATGTCAGGACAGGGTTCTCTCAGTGACAGGGTCAGAGGTCATAGCTCAGGCTTTTACTGCAAAAAAATATCAAAAGCATTTCTTTATCAACCACTTTGGAAAGAATGTCTCTGATGGACTGCCAAACTTTGCTGAGCTACCCATGGGACCTTTCTCTAAAACCTTCCAGCAAGCTCTTGTTTTTTACTGCCCTCTGGTTTTTCTCACTTGTTTCTTTCGCTCATTAAATTAAATTTTTTTTTATTTTTATGGTCCAACCATCTCATCCACACTCTTCAGACTGCTTAGACATTGGAGCTGCTCGTACTCTGTTGGACAGTGATCACTATGCCATGGACAAGCTGAAGAGACGTGTGCTGGAGTACCTGGCTGTTAGACAGCTGAAGACGTCACTGAAGGTGCTTGTTCTAGATCCACTGAATGTATATAGACAAAAAGCTGCTCTGTATTTTATGAGTGTAGAATTTTAAAAACAATTAACAGGCAGTTCTTGAGTGTGTCACATTTAATTCATTATTATAAAATAAATGTATATTTATTACTGTGTCTTTAGGGCCCCATACTCTGCTTTGTGGGGCCCCCAGGAGTTGGTAAAACCAGTGTGGGACGTTCTATTGCCAAGACTCTGGGCAGAGAGTTTCACCGCATCGCTTTAGGGGGCGTGTGTGACCAGTCGGACATCAGAGGACACAGGTAAGCTCCTATAATAGTAAATCTAATGAAGTGTAATAGCACATGTTTTAAGACCGCAGCATAGATAGTGACTGTTCTGGAGCAGGCGGGAGGATTTCCCTTTATTATAGTGGAGCACACATGTAGACATAAGGCAAGCGTAGTTACATGTACATATACATATATCCTGAAACCTCTCAAAGATAAAATTTTATGGACAGCACTTCAATTAGAAGTGATTCATTTGTTGAAAGTGTGATATTTACTGGACCAGCAATTGGTTCTTTGTTCTTAAGATGTGTAAAATATTATTTTTCATAGTGAAACCTGCTGCTTCTGAATGAAACAGGTGCTCATGAGTAAAATGTGGACTCCATTTCAGACATGACTGAGCATCACAGTGATAAAAACCAAGAAGCTCATTTTGAAAAATAACCTTAAATTCTTTCTTTAAAGACCCCTGTTAAGGCAGCATGGTGACATATTGGTTAGCACTGTTGCCTCACAGCAAGAAGGTTCCGGGTTTGAGTCCGGGCCAACCCAGTGCCTTTCTGTGTGGAGTTTGCATGTTCTTCCTGTGCCTGCATGGATTCTCTTCGGGTACTCCAGCTTCTTCCCACAGTCCAAAGACATGCAGTTTAGGTTGACTGGCAACTTTAAATTGCCTGTAGGAGTGAGTGTAGGTGTATGTGGTTGTTTGTCTACATGTCAGCTCTGTGATAGACTGGTGACCTATCCAGGGTGGACTCCGCAGTGGCTATGTTTTGTCATCATCTTTTTCGTTCCAGAAACTTCACATTTCACACTTCTGGCTCACGTTAGGTAATATGTCATGGCAAGCATTGTTTTTCATTTATTTCTGTCAAAGTATTATTACTGTTGTGATAATTCTTTGCCAGTTGCACTTTACATGCACCTTTCTGTTATCAACAAGTAAAGTTGTTTGTGAGCTTTCAGTTTGTTTCAAAGGAAAGGAAACATTTACACAATCGTCCACTAGTTCAAATTCTACCTGTGTCTCTAGACGTACATATGTAGGGAGCATGCCTGGTCGCATCATCAATGGTTTGAAGACAGTGGGTGTCAATAATCCGGTCTTCCTCCTTGATGAGGTGGATAAACTGGGGAAGAGCCTGCAAGGTGACCCTGCAGCTGCACTGCTAGAGGTCAGTCTGTTTCTTAGATTGCTTGAGTAGCAGGGTGTGATGTCATCAGTGCATATTAATTCCCTTAACAAAACCTTAACCTGTACATACTCTGAATTGAACCTGTCAGTTTTGCTGAACTTGCTTGTGAGCATTTATTCTGATTTTAAATGATTGTCTGCTTCTGTTTGCTAATGCATTCATGCCAAACTTCCAAGCTAAGTTAAATGTGGTCAGATTAAACACTAAAAATATACACACACACACTGAAACAGTCCCCGCATGTTCCTTTAGGTCCTGGACCCAGAACAAAACCACAGCTTCACAGATCATTACCTCAACGTAGCCTTTGACCTCTCCCAAGTGCTGTTTATTGCCACTGCAAACACCACAGCGACCATCCCCCCGGCCCTGCTGGACAGGATGGAGGTTCTGCAAGTACCAGGTGGGTGCAGGTGCAGAGGAGTCATTTCCATAGTTTCCTGTTGATGTTGAGGCCAAACTCTCGCTTGGGTGACAGAACTAGTCCCACGCAGAGAGCATCTCTGTGGTTGAATTCACCTCCTCAGGATCATCTGTCACTGCCGCAGTCAGATGCAGTTTGTTACCAATAATGTATTAACAGTGAGTTATTAATATTAGACAAATACATTTAAAAAATAAGTAATGGCTTTTTTCAAGGTGACAGTGATTTGTTACTCATTCTCACAATGTATTCCATGTTCATTGCACCAACTGCACATTTTACATGTGGTTGTATAGTTGTCCAAATCTTGAAGTTTTATGAACCATATGGCACCAGTTTGATCACCACAGCTGGTTAGCTGAACTACTGGTCATCCCCAGAGATTTTTAACAGTCAGAACCATAGGCATAACCATGTGTTTCAGTCCAAAAGCAAGAGTGTTGGGGCAAGAAGGACAAATGAACTGTAGATAACTTTTATTACTTCCAATATTGAGGGTAGATGAAGAATTTATGATATACAAGTTACTGTATTAAACATGCTAAACCTCTATGTCCTCCCAAGCTGCTGAACTCAACCAGTAATAGTATCCTGCAGTTTCAGTTCTTACTGCTACATTATCATTTTGAGGAAATCAATATGGCTATTTTTACATACTAACATGTTTTACAGGCTGTGTACCACTGCATAGGTAATAAAAGTTGTATAAAGTCATTTGTGGAGCCAGAAAAGGCTGCATAAAATTAGATAAAGCCACTAAAGTGATGTCACTTGAATCAACATCAGGTACAGCTAAAGACAAAAAGTCTGAATATGAAGAAAAAAAAAATCTGAGGATGTGGAGATAGAAGTGAGTTTACAGACTTCTATAGCCTGCTTCACACCAATCTTTGGAGCTGGAGACCTTTACTAGTATAACACAGCCAACTCTTCAACTGAACTGTTGACAGTCATGTTACATTGTGGGTAATGTAGGCTCCAGATATTGACTGCAAGAGGAATGTGTGTAATGAAAGACAATATACTGTATCTGGTTCTGATGCATCTGGTTTTTGAAACTGTCAATTGTGAGTCTGACAATGTTATAAGAGTGTAATACTAAAAATGTGGAGCATTTGTTTAATTCAGTGATATGAATTGCTACTATGACGGAATGATGTCCAAGTCTGTGTATACACATGTTCTAGGCTACACCCAGGAGGAGAAGGTGGAGATAGCTCATCGTCACCTGATCCCAAATCAGCTGGAGCAGCATGGATTAACGCCACAACAGCTGCAAATACCACAGGACACCACACAGGATATAATCAGCAGGTAAGCACACATGCAATACAATTTGTGGGAGCACAGAACCAACTAAACCTAAGGCAAACTTAATAATAGTGGGGCACAGCCACTTATTTGCAACTCGTTATAAGTAAATGGATTTAATGAACAACGGTTAGTAACTTTTTATCTATATATTTTATCCATTTTTAAAGGGTAAGGCCAAATCCCAGACACTAAAACCAACAATGAATGTTGTGTACTCACTTGCACTACACAGTGTCGACAGAGCAGATATCACATGCATGTGCAGTTGACTCCTTACTGCAGAGACTGTGAAAGGCAGTGGCTGTTCTTGGTCCTTGGAGGGCTTTGAAAGAAGATGAGCTTCACCATGTTTTGTGGGGAAGAAATGTGTCTCCCAGTGTGGCTTACTGGTGTGTTTTTAATAGGACTGAAATTCAGGTTTATGGCACAGGTGAATAAGCTAACTAAACCAGGTTCTGGAACCACAGGCGTTGTGGTAAGTACATGAAATTCATTGTTGGTTTTGTAGAAAATAACCAAAACATAGAAAATCACCATGATGTTTGGGAGATCTTTGGAGCCATCGGTGTGAGTTGGCGGTGCAGATGGCTGCCTCAGTTCTGTACCAGAAACAAATTCCTTGTGTATGTAACATACTTGGCCAAATAAAGGTGATTATCCTTATCCTATTTTTTTTCTTGCAGTGTTGTGTAAGAAGATATAGTAGATATTATACAGTAATTACAAAGCTACAGCCTGCAGCTGGTATGCTTAGCTTGGCATCACGACTGGAAGAGGGAACAGCTACCCTGGCATCTGCAAGCACCTGTAAAGCTCAGTTTATTAACATGTTTGTGGTTTGATTCTGGGTTATGGTCTGGACTTGTCTTTGCCTTTTATCTGCTGGTTGCACTAGACTCTAGGAATATGTAGGGTCATAATGAGTTTGGAAGGGCAAGTAGAACTATTTAACTGAAGCCAGAAATTCAAGGATGGTGGCACAAAAGTGCAGTCATCACAAGGGCAGGTTGCGCACACATAGCCATTTTAGCTTTGGTTTGGCCTCAGAATCAGTATCTTACAGTACAAGGCCTTGAAAAGGGAAGCTTTGTCCTCTTATGAGACCCCTGTGAGTGGTCACACTTACTGCCCTTTACACCTAACCTCAATCTGTGTATTATATAATGTACTCTGCACCTTGTCGTCTTCTGTTTCTTCTTCTTCTTTCGGCTGTTCCCATTAGGCGTCGCCACAGCGAATCATCTGTTTCCACCTAACTCTATCCTCGGCATCCTCTACTCTCACACCAGTTAACTTCATGTCCTCTTTGGAACAGAAGTATTTGAACACCCTGCAATTTTGCAAGTTCTCCCACTTAGAAATCATGGAGAGGTCTGAAATTCACATTGTAGGTGCAATCCCACTCTGAGAGACAGAATTAAAAAAAAAAAATTCAGGAAATCACATTGTATGATTTTTAAAGAATTTATTTGTCTTGCACTGCTGAACATAAGTATTTGAACACCTGAGAAACAGCAAGAATTCTGGCTCTCAAAGACCTGTTACTGTGCCTTGAAAAAGTCCACCTCTACTCCACTCATTAATCTAAATTAGTAGCACCTGTCTGAACTCTTTAAAGACACCTGTCCACCCCACAGTCAGTCAGACGCCAACTACTACCATGGGCAAGACCAAAGAGCTGTCAAAAGACACCAGAGACAAAATTGTGGACCTCCACAAGGCTGGAAAGGGCTACAGGGCAATTGCCAAGCAGCTTGGTGAAAATAGATCAACTGTTGGAGCAATTGTTAGAAAATGGAAGAGGCTAAAGACGACTGTCAGTCTCCCTCGGACTCGGGCGCCATGCAAGATCTCACCTCGTGGGGTATCACTGATGATAAGAAAGGTGAGGAATCAGCCCAGAACTACAAGGAAGGAGCTGGTCAATGACATGAAGAGAGCTGGGACCACAGTTTCAAAGGTCACTGTAGGTAGAACACTACGCCGTCATGGTTTCAAATCATGCATTGCACGGAAGGTTCCCCTGCTCAAGTCATCACATGTCCAGGCCCGTCTGAAGTTGGCCAAAGACCATCTGGATGATCCAGAGGAGGCATGGGAGAAAGTCATGTGGTCAGATGAGACCAAAGTAGAACTTTTTGGTCTAAACTTCACTCGTCGTGTTTGGAGGAAAAAGAAGGATGAGTTGCATCCCAAGAACACCATCCCTACTGTGAAGCATGGGGGTGGTAACATCATGCTTTGGGGGTGCTTTTCTGCGAAGGGGACAGGACGTCTGCACTGTATTAAGGAGAGGATGAATGGGGCCATTTATTGTGAGATTTTGAGCAACAACCTCCTTCCCTCAATCAGAGCATTGAAGATGGGTCGTGGCTCATGACAACGACTCAAAGCACACAGCCAGGATAACCAAGGAGTGGCTCCGTAAGAAGCATATTAAGGTTCTGGAGTGGCCTACCCTCAGGACAAATTTGTCCTATGGCTCACATAAGGGTGTAAAATTATTATAAATTCATAATTTTTTCCACTTTAAATGAGCCAATCATTTAAAACTACTCCTGCCTGAAATATACATATTAAACATGAATTATATTTTTGGAATTTTTAACCCTTTCTATGCCAGTATGTTTACATAACTCCATTGTTTTTTATGGAAAAAAAACAAACTAAGATATTTTCCAAAAAATACATTTCAACCAGTATTTGATTATTATTATTATTACTACTAGGCCCTGAGATGGGTCAATGGTTGGTAGCAACACTGATTTGGATGCATTTTTTAATTTTATGCAGTAGCAGAATTACAATATCACTGTACACTGATTACCCTCGGGACAAATTTGTCCCACTTCCCAAAAACAACTGTAAAAATATATATTATTATTACCCTGTTGTGTTCTAAAAATAAATTTCAAATGCAAGATCAGTTTGAACCAGAAAACACTTATTTTACAAAGATGAACACTAAATATTGAACACTAACACCTCACTCTCCTGCTCCTGAGCAAGGGCTGCAGATCCACATGCTGTGGTCCTTGCACAGGAACCTCTCACATTTGCAGCATACATGTCCTGCTTTTCTCTTGTCTTTACAAAAGAAACATGGCTTTCTGCCCTTGGTTTGCTGTGAGAAGGGCCTGCAGCAGCAGCAACACCCTGAAGGTCGGTCACCACATAGTGTTTTTAATGGGTTTAAATGGGGACAAATTTGTCCCGAAGATCAAAAGTGTGAGTATTTTTGTAGTTTTGTCATTTTAGGCTAATTTAAGGAAGTGAGACCACAATTTTTAAGTTTTTAAAAAATAAATATCCTGTAGCAAATTTGAGCTACATTCATTCAGCACAGCTAAAATGGCTTGAAAAAGAAAAATGCAAAACCCAAATTTGTCCCTGAAGAACTCTTAAAGTACCGTAGTTAAAAGTAGCTACAACAGTAAAATGCTGCTAACACATTGATGCATCAGTGGGTCATTGTTACTTCTAATAATAACACGAGTCACAAAACAAGTAATTCCTATGGATGAAATGCAGGTGCTAATACAAGTGTACTTGTTATATGCATGACTTTTCCCTGTAATGGAGTGTTTACTGTGTTGGTACTGAAGTGATGGGAGCTGCGGGAGTCTGGACATGTGACCCTCCACACAGGAAGAAGAGTCAAGTAATGAGTCAGAGTAGTCCACACGAGTCTCTGACGCCTCCTGCATCCAGACAGCAGTAGCATGCCGTGCGGCGCTGTGCTCGGCCTGTGCCAGTATGAAACCAACAAACTGGTCCGGCTCGGCTCTCTGAAGTGGAGTCTGAACGCAGCCATCCTACTGTTTATCTGGTGAGTGGACGTACGGGCTTTCAGCCCCCGCATCTGCGCTGCAGGCTCGGGGAGCGGCCGGCATGGCTCACCGTCACAAGTCCCGTTAGAGCGGGATACAACCGGATAGAGAGGGCTGTAGCCAAAAACATATTGACCGATCATTGATAAGGCGGTTTGTGTACTCCTACCTCCACTCTTATATGTAACTCTATGTTCCTCCCTCTTCTGGAAATAGGTGTTAACTACAGCCATTTCCATCCTCTTAGCAAAGTCCACCACCGTCTGTCCTTCTAGGTTCCTTCCCTTAACACCAAACCTGCCCATCACCTCCTCATCACCTTTGTTCCCTTCACCAACATGCCCGTTGAAGTCTGCCCCAATCACCACTCTCTCCCCTCTGGGAATACTCTCCATCACCTCATCTAACTCACTCCAGAATCTCTCCTCCTCTTCTAACTCACTTGTGGAGCATAACCACTGACTACATTCAACATTGCCCCTTCAATTTCCAACTTCAAACTGATCACCCTGTCTGACACTCTTTTCACCTCTAAAACATAGCTTGCTGCAGGGTTGTTTGTGGCCACAAGGGGGCACTCTGAGGCCAACCAGGGTACACTGATGTCAGTCGTACTCTGGTCATGCAAGAGGCCAGTCACGTGATTACATTAGCGTTCTTCAGTGCCATCAGATGGATTGCATTTAAGTTGGTTGAGCATTACTCAGACACTGGTCACATTTGTTGTGTACATGGTGATTTAAATGTGTACTTTGTGGTAAAATAAACATTTCTTATATATATCTGTAGATAGATTAGGTAGATTTTTAGACTGCCGTTTCCTGCAGCTCCTACTGAAACAATGGTCAAAATTGGGGAAAAAACTTTCAGTTCACTTTCACACTTTCAGATGTGAATGGATAATATACCACATTCACTGCGGAGACACTACTACAGAGGAGCAGAGCACTTGGCCAGCTGGCAGCTCACACCTGAAACTTGTTAATTTTTTAAATTAATAATAATTTTGTCAGTCGACCAATTGATTTATCACATGACGTTTCCAGTACTAGAGTGATTTAAAATTTTCATCCTTGTACATACAGTCCACAAAACAGCCTGATCAAGCTGATCTGCATATTTAAAAAGGTGTGTTGATTGTTTGTTGTGTCTTGTTGCTTTTCTTTCTTTTCTCTCTCCTCTATCCACTCAACCCAACCGGTTGAGGCAGAAGGCTGCCCACCAAGAGCCGGAGTCTGTCAGGCTTCTTACATTAAAAGGAGTTTTTCCTCCCCACTGTTTCCAAGTGCTTGCTCAAGGGGGATTTGTTGGGGTTTCATCTATAATGATAGTGATAATAGTAAGGTCTAGACCTTACTTTGTAAAGCTGTGCTGAGATGACTTTTTAGGTGATGTGGTACTATACAAATAGAATTGAATTGTAAACATGTAGCCACTGATCCTGAGGCTTCTGCTCCTTTCAGATGGTGAGCAGTATGCTACTGTCAGAGCCTCTCCACAGCACTAGCAGTCTGGTTACTATAGAAACAGCCAATAGCGCTCAGCTTGCTGTTTATCCTTCGAGGGATACTCCTGATTTTACTTGCCTGATTTAAAAAAAACAAAACAAATGAAATACTGTACATACACAGTAGGAGAGGTCTGAGACGTAACAAGAGTAGAAGATTCAGCAGAAACCAGGCAGGTTAACTGCCACCCTTTAGACACCATCTTATTTATAATGTCAGACTGTTAGATGTTTAAATCACATTCATTTTGTTATTTATTGTCCTTTTCCTACGTCTCTGATTTGTTCATTCATGGCACACATTTCTTTCATAGCACTTAATACAAATCCTCAGAATTTTCTCGCTCGTAAGAGACACTACAGTTACAGGTCAAGCTGAGGTGATCTGCTTCTGACTGTTAATGGCTGCTTGTTTAAAATGGCTGTTGTACTTGCTGTGTCCTCTGACACACACTGGTGTGCATGTACACAATGATAGCTTATACAACTCCCAGCAGCATTACCAGTGAAACCTTATCTCCACATCATTTTATTTGCCTATTGATCGTTGCTGTAGGTACACCCGTGAGGCAGGTGTTCGCTCCCTAGAGAGGAAGATAGGAGCTATCTGTCGAGCTGTGGCTGTAAAGGTCGCCGAAGGTCACAGAGTCACCAAGAGAGATGCCCTGACCCCCAAGGGCCAAACACAGCAGGGAGGTAAAAGCCACAGTGCTCTGTGTTCTGTCTGTCACTGTGGGGGATGTGGTATTAAAGCTGGATTTGTAGTTAATGCAAAGGGTTAAAAGTCCTGCTGTAGCTACCTACAGCAAATGTTTTGGTAGATGAGAGTTGGATTTCAGAAGCTGAAATGAATTAATGGTCCTTCAGTAGTTCAGCACTCGTGAGACATCTCTTGCTCGTATCCATGGCTACGCTGTAACTGCATCAATGGTAACTTCAAATCCAGTGAGACTGCTGTCCACCTGATAACCAGCAACCAGACAAACCTTGTCATAGAAAGACAGCACTGGTAACATTGGCTCTGTTCATTTAACTGACATAACAATATTTGAATGGAAATTAACTAAATACTAACTATATTAACTAAATAGACCAGACATGCTCTAAAATTAGTCTGGACTCAGAAATAAGAGACGGAGATAAGTAGAAGACATCAGCCGTTGTTTTGTTCCTCTTTATGGAAAGCCCTGTGTGCTGCCAGGTAATTAATGTCACAGACACTGAGAACAAACACTGTTGTGTGTATGCAAATTAGCTTTTAACAGATGTTATGCTGCTTAGTGAATGAGGTGTTACTCATGTTGTAGGGACCTAAACCTGTAGCAAGTCTTCACAATGTAATTTCTTACATTTTAGAGTGATGACTTGTTTTAAGGTTAGGTATAAGGGTTAGAGCTAGGCAAGTACTGGTTATGGTTAGGGTAAGTCTTCAGGAAATGAACTCAAGTCTACTGTATGTAATGTCCCCAGAAGTGATTGAAACACTGTGTTTATGTATGTTCAGATAAGGCAACGCCTCCAGAGATGCCCATAGTGATCGACCACATTGCCCTGAAAGACATCCTGGGACCTCCAGTGTTTGAAATGGAGGTAAGCAGGACTCCAGCAAAGAGAGGAAGAGCTGGGTTGGGCAGAGTAGCAGCTGTAGTCATTATAATCCACAAACTGTCAATTACATTTATTCCCAATTATTTTTTTCTGAGTCTGTTTGAACTTACTGGATAGCTCATGAATTTACATGTAGCATGTTCTCCTCCCCTCACACTTGTCTCACTCTCATCATACCTTTTTGTAAGATAGGTTTCTCCCTGTTGACATCAAAAAATACAGGCTAAAAAGTCAAAACTTGTCACAAAGGTTGGCGGCTGTTGTGGATATCTGTACATGGGTATCCACTGAAACCACTGAGCTATGCAGGGCAGCCCGTGTCTTTTATTTTCACTTGTCCCCCCCCTCCCCAAGATGCACTTGTTTTTGTTCATTGGAAGGTGTCCGAGCGGCTCACCCTGCCTGGTGTAGCCTTGGGCCTAGCCTGGACCCCCCTTGGTGGGGAGATCATGTTTGTGGAGGCCAGCCGGATGGAGGGAGAAGGTCAGCTCACTCTGACCGGTCAGCTGGGAGACATTATGAAGGAATCAGCCCACCTGGCCATCAGCTGGCTCAGAGCAAATGCCAAAACCTACCAACTCACAAACAGTAAGTGCTCTCATAAATATGTACTGTATTTAGGTATATATATATATGTATATACTGTACTATACATTGTTTACAAGTACACAAGTAATCTATAGTAAGGATATGTTGTAAAAGACCAATATGTCAACACAAACTGTGTTGTGTGTTTGGGCAGTGGTTGGGGGGCCAGATCCATTAGAAGGGACAGACATCCACCTCCACTTCCCTGCTGGAGCTGTCACCAAGGATGGCCCCTCTGCTGGCGTTACCATAGTAACCTGCCTAGCCTCGCTGTTTAGTGGCCGATTGGTCAGATCAGATGTTGCCATGACAGGAGAGATTACATTAAGAGGGCTGGTTCTGCCGGTGAGTTATCCCATTCAACACACAATAAGATACCAAATCCACAGTTTTAAGTAACTGGATTGGTGCATCTTCCACAGGTGGGTGGGATCAAAGACAAGATTTTGGCTGCCCACAGGGCAGGAGTGAAGTGCATCATCCTCCCAAAACGTAACGAGAAAGACCTGGGGGAGATCCCAGCCAAGGTCCGAGCTGAGCTCAACTTTGTCACCATTGGAAACCTGGACGAGGTGCTGAATGCCGCCTTCGATGGAGGGTTTCCAGGGACAACCAGTGAGCACGTGCACCCTCAGCTCAGCAGCAAACTGTAGCACACTGATGAAGCGCTCACAGTGATAGCGTGATGTGTAGAAAGTATTCCTGATAATTTCAAAATGAGTGTCTCAACTTTAACTCAGTCTGTTTTTCCCTAAGCTGCAGTTACAGGTTAGTACACACAGCTGTAATCCTTCATGTCATGTTATTGTCTAGCTTTTCATGTTCAGATTATTTTCATATTGAAGATCATTTCAGATTAATAAAGCTAGTTTGCAGTCACATCCTGTTAGAGAATTCCATTTACATGGACAGTGCACAGTGACTCCATGTTATATGAAGGCTTCATTATTAATACATATTAGTTCAGACCAACTAGTTGAGCAGATCCAGTGTACATTACTGCTGTAGCCAAGTCAAGTGGACACTAGTGATCAGCTAAAGCTCTAATACCTTGACTTTCACAGTTGGTGGTGGGGTCAGGGTGAGATGGTTTGTGTATGTGATAGTGGAACAGAGAAGATGCACTGCGCCCTGAATGGATGGCTGTGGGCAGTCACATATTGTAATTTGGAGAACGTTTGAATTCAGCTAACCAGTGGATATTTTCTGAGCTCTTGTAAAGTATTAGCTGTACAAATTTGATCTCAACTAGCAAAAGACTACACTTGATAATATGCATCATGTAGGGTTATTTTGTCCTGTTGAGGGATGGATAAATATTTCATTGGCCAAATATTCTTATGATGTCTAACTGCAAAATGCCATTAGTCTTACATAGTGAATCATACACAAAATGCATGGAATCCTGTGTCTTTTGGCCAAGCTGATATTACAGTGAGAGAGAGACAATGTTGTGAAAGGTAACCACACAAGTCATAACCATAACTGTATAAATCTGTGAATAATAGTTAAAAAAAAATAAAATAGTCTTATGAAGCATTAAATTTGTTTGTATTTTCGTTTAACCTCCAGTCACTTGGTAGTAAAGGGAAAAATTTGCTTTGTTAAAGTTTTAGTCATGGCAGCTTGCTGCTGAGAAGAAACCTGTTGCAGAGGTATGGTATTGCCCTTAATATCAATCCTCTTGTCAATGTTACCTTTCTTAATCTGGTAATGTTTTGTTTTTTTTTTTTTTTTTTTTTGTTTTTTTTTTGGTCTCTACAAACACACAACAAATAATATATTAGGCTCTAAGCTTCTTCCTTAATGTGGAAACTACTCAAAGGTCATTGAGGACCTTTTTTTCATTCTTGACCAATCTCCCCACACTGACATGAATGCTCAGATACGCCAATAATTGGCAATCGGGTGAATATTAATCCAGTCATCCATTTCCCTGTCCAACACATTGTGAAATAAAAGTAAAATCATCCCTACAATTGTGGGCCTGATTACCTTGAAATGATAAATTGCTGTTTTTTTTTTTTGATCATTTGCAGGAAAAGTCACAGTTAAGTGATTAATTCATTTAAGTGTATACATTCTTTCCTGAGAACGAACCATCATGATCACACAATGTCCACACTACACAAGATACAGTAATTCAAATCTAAACCCTTTTTGGTTTGGATTTTGGGTTGTAATTAACATTATAGCCTCTAGGGGACAGTATTTAGTCTTAGAGGATCTACCAAGCAGCTCTGCAGGGCACTGACTGCTCACTCCTGTTAAGGGCAAGATTTCAAAAACAGAGCTTTACAGCATTTCTTTTATGATAGCTATACATGTATACGTATGTACAGTACACTGTATATGTGTCACTGTGAGTTCAGTGGAGACACACCCAGTTATATTTAAACTCCGGTATTATAAGCCCTCTAGATTCAAAGAGTCCCTTAACCTTTGACATAATTACCCAAAAGCCCTTGGGGTGTGCTTAGTGTACAGTACTGGCACCATGCCCAGATCTTATGGCTGAGCTCAGCTTTAGGTGTGGTTGCTGCAGACAGGCTGGACCCCTGTGACCACATGATGGCATATTCCACTGACACTTTTCAGCATTTAATATTCATACAGTACTTTGTGTGCCACATCCTTTTTCAGATTGATGAAATATACTAAATTATATTGTACATCTTTGAGACAGAAGAGAGCTATTTAGGGGCTGTAGGAAAATTACTTTGGTGGAGAGAACTGAACCATACTGAATCCATTGTGTTAAAAACAAATCAGTCACTTGATAAAGAAGTACATCTAATTTTAACCATTGAACTAAAAGAGGCAAAGCCCAAAGAATATATGAAGTAACATAAACCTGTTTCAAGCTATAAACAAGACAGCAATTCTATAGACCTATTTATCCCTTGTCTGATGCACAGCTGATTTTGCTTTGTATGCAAATCATGTATTTAAACATTGTTTTAAATTGATTATGTTCAGACACCCATGGACTGAATCAAGCATGGGAGGAACTGATCATATTGGCAAAGTTCCTATATACGATCAGCCATAACATTATGACCACTGAGAGGTGAAGTGAATAACACTGACTATCTGTTACAGTGTCACCTGTCAGTGTGTGGGGTATAATAGGCAGCAAGTGAACATTCAGTCCTCA